CTCTCAGCCTCCAACATGCTCTAAAACCACTATTGCATGTGAGGTACATTAACATTTTCACCTTTGTGTTATGCATGATGTAAATTTAGAAGACTTGGAAATAGGGCAAGTTAAATTGCAGCACTGACATTCCTAGGAAGGAGATAGGAAAAATAATCAGCATGCTTGGTTGGAAGTAAATTTACAGTGAGATAATCCCAGGATCCTTGTATTCCAATTTTTCAAAATTTGACAAATGACTGGTTGTCATTGGTGATGACATAGTTGCCACTCCAGAATAAGGAGAGAGGAAGTTGCTACAATGCTTCAGTGCCCTGTGCTGATTAGGATGGGCTTGTTCCCAGAAAGGGCTTTGGAGTCCTCACTTTGCAGATAGGGAGGTGGATGATTAGCCTGAAACTCAGAGCTAACTTATTCTGCCATTTGTTCATTTGTTCTTTCTTTTAAATAGAAGTATGTTCTGTGAGCTGCTACTGTGTTATTCACTAGGAATACAGACATGTGGATGGCATCCCCACTGTAGCTTACAGTCTTGCAAGGGAGGCCACTTCATGGACTAGTCATTTAATGCAGATATTCATAAGCACCTGAAGAAGGTGTCAGTTCAAAGGAGATAGAGAAAAATTATTCAGAAAAGCTTCATGGAGCTAGCCATACTTCTACTTTGAGAATATCTAGACTTTTATAATATATAGAAGGAGTCTACCAAGCATGGGGACATGAAGGCATATTCTAAGCAGAGGGTGAAAAATTCAGATGTCTGTTGAAGAGTAGTGGGAGTTAGTGGGGAGGTGGGAGCTTGACCTATGCTCTGAGCTGCAGTAATAGTGGCTTTCACTGAGGATCAGACTTGTGTATGACAGATTGCCCTGATGCTGACCTGGAAGATTCATCTAGGACACCACTAGATGTGGCTCTAATTTTCAAAGTAGGAGATGATGTGAACAGTGGAGAGAGAGAGGAGAAATAGGTTTGAGAATGCTTTAAAGATAAAATCGACAGACAAGATGTGGTGGCCAATTCTGGAGGTCTAGGGAGAGGGGAATTAAGGGTGTCTCCAAGGCTATGGCTGAAACCCCCAGGTGAAGTGGGAGCAGAAGCTAGGCCAGATCCTGGCCTGTGGTTGCATAGTGCATGGAACTATGTGTTAACTATGTGCATAAGTGCATGGAACACAGAGCTGTTACTAGTAGCCTTTGGGCTGTCAGAGAGTTAACTTGGCCTGTGTAAATGACCCACTCTGGCCTGGTTAACTGTGTTGCTTCTCTCAGAAAAGAGCTGGAGAGTTTATCTTCTGAGAGTAGAAATGCTCTCTTTCTAATTAAGGAGGAGGAGAAGCTGGGCTGTGGTAACAGTTTTCCCCCCTCTACTTCTATTGACTCATGGGAGATAAGAAGCAAAGCTTTGGGAGTAGAGATCTTTAGAGAGGGCAAGCTGGGCTCGGTGGTGTATGCCTGTAATCTCAGTGGCTCAGTAGGCTGAGACAGGAGGATTGCAAGTTCAAAGCCAGCCTCAGCAACAATGAAATGTTAAGCAGCTCTGTGAAACCCTGTCTCTAAATAAAATACAAAATGGGGCTGGAGACAGTGGCGCACACCTGTAATCCCAGTGGCTTGGGAGGCTTAAGCAGGAGGATCATGAGTTCAAAGCCAGCGCTCAGCAATTTAGCAAAGCACTAAGCAACTCAGTGAGACCCTGTCTCTAAATAAAATACAAAAAGTGGGGGAGGCTGGTGATGTGGCTCAGTGATCCAGTGCTCCTGAGTTCAAACCCTGGTATCCCCCTTCCCCCCAAAAAAAGAGAGACCAACATTTGCATTAGTCCATTTATAATCAAATTACACCAGGTTATTTGTGATCAAAGTCATGAAGCAGTGAGAAAATACCAAATCAGACTGTACTGTTTAATTCTTTTTAGAAGGTAACTATGATGCTGTCAGTACAACTCTGTTTTCCAAGCCTCACTTTTTTTTCTTCCAACTTTAAGAATTGTTTTTGTGCATGAAGAAGGAGCAGAGACCTCGATTTAAACAAGAATCAGGTACAGGTACAGACAAGATCAGCTATGTGAAACCCTAATAAAATGTGTGTGAGGCACATCTTATTGCTCTGGAGGGATTTTTATCTTTTATTCCATAATCGCTAGAACCTCAGTGGGCCCATGATAGAATTCAGAGTTTCAGTGAATGCAAATGGGTTAAAAAGTTATCTTTATTTTGACCAAGTTCTAGTAAATATAGGTTTCCTCTTATTATGAATGTGGAATGGAAAACACAATGGTATTAACAACATTTATCATCATTAGAAATTACAGCTCTTTTCATATTATACTTGTTGTAGAAATCTCAATGTAACATTTATGCTCTTTACTACTTTCAAGTTTAGAGTAGCCACTAAATCCAATACCGTCTGAGGAGACCCAGGTCCTACAACATGTATATACATTACTGTATCACAAATTTGTGTTATAAATTTTGGTAACTGTAAGTGTAATTGGTTTTCTTTTTAACCCTATGTATTATGTTTCCTGCATTTAAAAAACATTCTGAGCAAGTTTCATCTACTTCACAGTTGTCTAAAGAGGTCCATGGCACATAAAAAGTTAATGTCCCCTGGCTAAGATCATGTAGTTGTGGCTTGTGACCTCCACCTGGTGGCAGCATACTCCTTAAAGGTTAAATCTGTCTGTAATCAATGGTTGAGGAGAAATTTTAACTGTGCACTTGAGTATGATTTTCAAATATTTTTGACCAAATTAAGAAATAGGCTTTCCATCATAACTCCATACACAAATACTTAGGTTTCATAAAATAATCCTCAACCTTACCATATGACAAATCGATATTTTTTATTGCATTCTAATATTCTATTCAGTTCTCTTTCGTTAAAATAAAACAGAGGTTGCAAGACACTAAACTGTGCAGTTCAGTGGGCCACAGTACAGTTCAGTATCTTAAGAGACCAAATACCCCATTTTCAGCAACACAATACCTATATTTTAAATAACTGCCAACAAATACAGATGCACTTTACACCGTGTTTAAAAATTTGTTAAAAATATAAATTAAATATAGTGAAAGGAACTGATTTTAAGTGTACACCTAAGATGGGCTATCAAGACAAAGAATATTCTCATCACCAAAGTTCCTTTGTGCCATTTCTAAGCCAGTTCCTCTCTGAACAGTCACTGTTCCCATGGCTTTGATCTTACATTGGTTTTGCTGTGTAGAATTTTATATAAATGTAATCACACAATATGTATTATTTTGCTTACTGCAGTATTTTAAAGATGAATCCGTGTTGAAGGTATCAATAGTTTGGTGAGCAGCATTCCATTGTGTCAATAACAAAGTGTTTATTTTGTTGATAGCCTTTTAGGCTGTCTTTAGTTCTAGTTATCATGTGTTAAAACCTCCATGACCATTTGCCTTTGTATCTTTGTATGCACATAAGCTTCTTGTCCCTTGGATAAATACCTGGGGTGGAATTGTTGATTTAGTCAGTTAATAAATATAAGTTTAGCTACAGGAAACTGCAAACAATTTGCCAAACTGGCTGAACAATTTATGTTTCCACTAGCAATGTATAAGAGTTTGGGTTGCTCTATGTCCTTCCCAACATTTGGTTTTGTGCCAGTATTTTTAACTTTAGTCATTCTGATGAGTGCTATAGGTGTCTCTCTTGGTGGTTTTAATTTACCTTTGCTGGGTAATTAATGCTGTTCAATTCTTTTTTCAGGTACTTATAACCATTCATTTATCTTATTTATGAAGTATCTTTTCAGGCTTGAGATACTCATTTTTTTAATATTAATGTGTAGGACTTCTTTACATGTTTTGGATACCAGTTTTTATGTCAGATATATATATATATATATATATATATATATCAATACATTTTTTTCTAGTCTGAGGCTTACATACTCATTTTCACTAATTTTTTTTAAGAGCACAGGCTTTTAATTTGACAGTGTCCAATTTAACAGTTTTTCTTTCAATATTTAGTGCTTTTTAGATCCTAATTCCATGGAATTATAGTACAGAATTAAGGGGAGGAAGCTGTTTAGCCAGAAAAGTGCAAAAATGACTTTGCCCTGTGGTTTGTAAACCAAACCTCTGGGTATCTTAGACATGCCCAGCCTACGGCCTTGGTTGTCTATTCCTTTTCAGATTAATTTGTTCACAATTACCTTGTGACTCTCAGAAATTACTCACAAGGGGCAAGGACTTAAAAGGCTCCAACTTTTCATGGGACCTATAGGTGTGCCATCCAGGACAAAGCAGTAGCCACCTGCGGTGATTTTAATTAAGTTGAAATTCAGCTTTTCAATCCTAACAGCCACATTGTGAGTGCCCACTAGCCACATATAGCTACTGGCTGTGCTGATGAACAGTGCAGATAGAGAATTTTTTTTTTCCCAAAAGTGCTATATAGTACTAGTCAGTGGAATTAGAGGCCAGGCTTACATAGTTTATAGCATGTTTTAATGAAACAGTCTTTAATTTTGATAATTGACATCAACTACCTACTTTCTTTCCTTCCTTTTCTTTCTTCCACTTTTCTGTTTCTATCCTAAGATGTCTGTCCCAGCCAATCCTTTATGTCTCTTCTTTCCTAGTAGAAGGAAGAATTCCCCGGCCTTGCACAGAATCATTCTTTCCTGAAGCCTACCTAGTACTAATCTATTTAACTTCCTCAATGTTTGATAGTCTGCCAACTAAAACTGGGCATCCCCTTTCAGGGTGTGGTCCAAAGATAGGTATTTTGTCATATCTGTCCTGATCAATCTTGTAGTTCTTTGTAGCATTTCCACTATAAATTTTAAACTGAAGAAAAAATAATAGGTTATGACCTATAGCCCCGTCCCATATTAAGATTTCTGTTCATTAGTTTACTTGGTTACCATTTCATAATGAGCAACCACATAGGAATTTGTGAGATTCTCTTTCATTGTTGGGCATGAGCTGCACAGACATTGACTTTGCCATTAATGTCTTTCAGTGTGGGAATTTTGCTGTACTGGTGGATCTTCATATATTGCCACAAGGTTCAAACAAAGATACCAGCTGGTTTTCTGAACAGAAGAAAGAGGTATAGCAACATTTTTATTATTTAAATGCAATTATCCCTAAGTAACTCCAGCTACTAGAAGAGATATCAGCTCTCTTCAACTTTCATTTTCATTTGTGAGGGGGAAAAAAAAGTTGAGCAGTGCTTAACACTTAAAAAAAATAATGCTTGGATCCTCATTAACAGAAACATACATAGTTAGCTTTTCCCTACCTTCAGAAGTCCATACACTTCATGTGCTATTCTTATTATTTTAATTTGTCTTTTGCAATATTGGAGATCAAACCCAGGGCCTTGTGCTTACATTCTATATGAGCTGTATCCCCATTCTTAATTCTATTATTTAAACCAAAAATTGTACACCTCTTTGTTTTGGGGAGAAGAGTTCTCTATATTTAAAAAAAAAAAAAAAAAGAGGAGAAAGCGGAGGAAGAGGATGAGGAAATGGAGTTGGTAAAAGGAGGAAGAAGAGGAAAAGGAGAAGGGGAAACTATTCCAGATGATTGGGAACCTGCAACAGGCATGGTGGTTAACTCAAGACTGGTCTTTCACACTCGTCTTAAACCCCATCTTTTATCTTCTACCAGCCTTTCATTGTCTTGAGCTTTTCACAAGGGAGGAGATATTTGTCCCTTCTCTCCTGTTGGTCAGTCAATAAAGCAAATAGTCAAGTATGGACATGTAATTGACCCTGAAACAACACATGTTCAAACTGCACAGGTCTACTTCATGTGGAATTTATTTTGGGAGATTTATGACAGTTTGAAAAAACTATCAGACAAACTCTGTAGCCTTGGAATATTGAAAAAAAATTAAGAAAAAGTTGTGTCATGAACACATGAAATAAATGTAAGACAATAGTCTATTATTTACCACCTTAAAATATATACAAATCTATTATAAAAAGTTAAGTTTTAGCAGAGGTCAAACACACAAATACACACCTACCTGGCACCATTTGCAGTTGAGAGAGATGAAAGCAGTTGTAAAAGTGCAGTTTTAATTCACAACTGTACAAAGTTAACTGTGGTGCGTTCTGTGCTATTGCATCTCACAACTGCCATTCCAGTGAGTACAGGTATTATATCTGCTGAGAATACTGTGTGAGGTGGTGGTCTCCACATGAACAATTTGTTTTTCTAATAAATTGCCTGTCCCTACATTTCCTGGGGTTTTCCAGAATTTTTCACCACATATAATACATACACTGTATAAAATTTGTGTTGACTGTTTTATGTCATTGTGAAGCTTCCAGTCACTAGTAAGTTATTAGTAATTAAATTTGGGTGAGTTGGAAGTTATACTCAAATTTCCAGCTGAGCAGAGGACAGTATCCTAATCCTGTTTGTTATCAGTAATGCACTATATGATATTTGACCTCTTTATGCTTCAGCTTCCTCATCTGCAAATGAAGAGGTTTGACCAGACACTGCCTAAGTTACCTCTCTGTTCTAACTTACTTTAGGGTCCTCCCCTTCCATGTTCCTGTGGTGGAGGGTTAGAAGGTGCATTTAGTTATCACATACTTTGCTTACTTCTCCAGACCTTTGCTTACCAAAGAGCAGAGGTAGTCACTTTAATGTAATTTTCAAAGTACCATTGTACTTTGTTTTTTCCATGATATTCATTTGTCAATTTTTAGAGCTGGAAATAAAAGTAAGTTTTATTAAAAGGCAATATTATATGAAAAAGTGGTAATAGTTGCTTAAAATTTAAAAAGTTTTCATTTCATAACTGTTTTAGCCAACTTTTAGAAATCACTAAAGCTTTCCCTCCTCCAAAATTATAGGATAATACATTTTCAGTCAAAGGATAATACCATCAGGACTTTGCTGTCATTTCCAAAGGATATCTGGTGATCTAAAGATGAGAGAAAAAAGGTACAAGGTTCAGTAGGATGAAATTTATCATTCAGATAATTAACCATGGACTGTCCTCTTCAAAACTTAATATCAAGCAGGCCAACATTTACTGCCACCCACCTTCACATAATTCCAAACTTTAGCTTACTAGCAGTCTGCATGATTTAACATGTGAAGTAAAATTCTTTAATTGTTAAAAAATTCATTTCCCTAAAGTGACTAATACTTCACCTAAAGGGACTTTAACTGGAAAGCTTCTGGCTTAACTTATCAGTAGTGTTCTAGATTCCACTATTCCAGGCCCAGATTTTCCTGCATTCTCTCTCAGCTTTACCTCTTTGGCCTTAGACCTTTCATGTTGATACTTAATCATTTTTTGCCTAGGAGATAGTTGATATGGAATGTTTCAAAGCCAGGGGTATGTGAGTCACCTCCCAGGCCAAGTGTGAGGTTTCTTCAAGGTGCCACATGCCSGTGCATTGCTCCAACTAGTACCTAGTTCAGAGCAGCCAAGCATGACTTTGCAAAGTTGCGCAGTGCACAACAGGACCTGCAGAGCGATGCTGTAGTGGCAGCTGCAAGGGAGATTATGCCAGCAAGCTGAGCTTTTCTCTCAAATCAAAGTACATGTCTGACTGCTGCTACTTTTAAGTTGTACCTTTATAACACATGTTCACCAACATTAAAATTGCTTCTGGATAATTTGTGTGTTTAAGAAAGGAGAAGAGCTAGTTGAAGAATCATGACTTTGCCCTATTAGTGCTTTCATCATTTTTATCATTAGACTATCTCACAGTTGGGATTTCATGGGCAGACAGTTTGAGTGCATTTAACAGCTACTTTCTACAGTGAAAGTCTAAGAAAAGAAGTTTAATTATATGTATTAAACATATATTTATTTTGAGTCCAGCACAAGTAGTCTTTGTACCCAAACAGTCAAACTAAAACGGTTCCATTTGTAAACTTGAGGAAGCAAATGTAAAGCCCCTAGAGAAGCCTTATGTTTCTCCTGTTTCCTTATTGATTTTAACTTGTTCTTTTCTTCTGCCCCTAAAATGTCATATTGTTGGCAGTTTTTCTTTTCATGCATTGTTCTGATTCAGCAGAGAATGCTTCTGTAAGTGCAGCATGGTCAGTTAACTAGGTATTGTGACCACATTGCACACGGTTGTCCTTCCATTTGTGAAACCTGATTCACAAAGGACAGCTTTGGAACTATAAGGAGAAACTTTATGTGTATAGGCCTATGCTCTATTTTTTCATACTATTTTTAGTTCTAGCCTTATAGGGTATTTATGGCCAAATTTTAACAATCCTTGTTTCCATGTATGTCTTTCACATATTTTCTAGCTCAGTCATAGTTGAACCCTGCATGTGAAGTAAAATTCTTTAATTGTTAAAACAACAGTACAAGGCAAGGCTGCTTTTCTGTTGTGTGAACAATGCCAAAACACTCAACTGTAAATGGATATCTCTCTATTCCACAAAGCACTGCATCTTTGGGCTGCTAAATAAAAAGCAGGAGAGAGGAGACCAGTGTTTGTATTTTATCTAGAAACTTCTATTTGTTAGTTAAATCAAGGGTTTTATATACTGTCTAAAGGCATTTGCAATAAAGGAAAAGTTTTGCTATGGTTGCTTTTCAGAGCAGCTTAAAATTTGTTAATGTTTTAATTTATGAAGATTCTCAGAGATGGCATTGTAAGAAACCAGTGAAACAGGTTTGAGGTAACCTCTGCAACTCCGAGCCTGCTGTAGTGTCTTTGGGAATTGAACCAGGATTTATCATTACTAAGGCATCATTTTTATGTATAGTTTTCCTCTCTTTCCCTGAACTACAGTACATTATCCTAATAGTGCAGGACTACACTGAATGTCTTCCAATATACAAACCAATAGCTAGAAATTGGATTGTGTTTATGGCATGCTGAAATTTAATTAAATTCCTCTGTTATTGTTACTTACTAAATATTAATCTACTTTATAGAAATAAGAGAAGTTAAATAATTTTCATCAATAGATAAATATTGTACAGTTTAACAAAAGCAAATGGGTATATGCGATATTAGTAGCATGAATATGGAAGAAAATCAAATTACTATTTCCAGTTCTATTTAATCCACTGCTCAACTAACTCTCTTCAGTAGATTTCTAAACTTGAAGCCAGAACCTAATGAATAAGGTGTTTACATTTAAAAAAATTGAAATGAGTTTGTAAACAGGAAACTTTTCTATATAAACGTCACTGTTTCTGGCTCTTCCCAAACATGTTAGAAGATCTGGGAATGCTATGCTTGTAGATATAACTGTAGTGTGGTAAAACCATGGTGGCTGCCTCCCATTGCCTGGGCTGTGGTCTGGGACCCTATGACTTTTGCACCAACAATATGTGAATATGTTCTTACTCCTGACTCCTTCCCTGTCTACACTCTCCTGCCTGGCCACAGTGGGCATGTTCCTGGGGCCCTTGCTGCCAGCAGCATTGGCTCCATTGTTTCTTCTATTCATCATAATAACTAACTGATATTTATTTGAAAGCATACTTCATCTCACCAATTTTATCACCACATCACCCTGATTTTTAAACTGAAGTAATAATCCTTTTTGTCTTCCTTTTTGATTTGTGAAACTGAAGCACAGAGAAATAAATAATTTTTGAGATTATAAACCAGCATTATGGTTTTAAACAAACTTTGGTAGCATGTTTAAGTCTGCAATAATATCCACCACTCCTATAACATTTCTTTCAATATTCATAGCTAAATTAAAAAGCAAGCAGAAGGAAATGTTAAGCATTTTAATGTGTATATTGTTAGCTTTTTGCATTGCATTAAATTAGAAAATTATATCCAATTTTTTATTTATCTTAGGAAGTCTGTTTGCTGTTAAAAGAAACCATTCTTTCAAGAGTTAAGGAGTACTTGGAAGTTCATAAACAGCACAGGCCATCAAATACAGAATTCACAAGATCCAGTCCCTTGTCCTTAAAAGGTAGGCACAGAGCACTTTGATTTGGGATAAAGAAAATAAAATTTTTGCTTTGTAGAGACGGCAATTATATTTGACTCTGACTGTCATGTTAGTATAATGATACATTTGAAAAGTATGTTGTAATGAAGATACTTTTGTTTGGGTAAAGAAAATTAACCAAAAAGCCCTCAAGGACTTTTAATGGTAGGCAAAATATATAAAAATAGCAAATAAAACATTCCTAAGGAAACAAAATTTTTAAAGTTTTTTTTTGACAAGTAATCTTGCAAATGGATTTACATTAATACTGACTTAAATTTATCCAGAGTTTAATGCTTTTTAAAAAATGTTTTTATATATGTCACCCTATTTCAAAGGTTCTCAAATGGGCAGTTCCCAGAGGACATTTGGTAATGTCTGTAGTTTCAGCTGTCATAACTGGAAGAGGTGGGGTGCTATTAGCATGTAAAGGGTAGAGGCCAGGAATGACACTATACATTCTACAGTGCACAGGCAGCCCTGGACTAAAGAAGGAATTATCAGCCCCAAAACATGAACGGCACCAAAGTTGAGTTCTCTGTCATATGTCCTATTAACAGTAATATCTTTTGAGTTACAGGTGGAAAACACTCAGAGACTATAAAACTGTAAACAGCTTGTTCAAGTAAAATATCCTTGTCTTGAGGACAGAGACTATCATTTACTTAGCATCATCACCGCCCATCCCCCTTCCTTGAGTGCTTGGCCGGCCTGATACACAGATGCCATGACATGAATGAATTCGAGGGTGATCAGTGGTAGAACCTGAACCCACACTCTCTCTTCTGACTTCCATCCCAGTGTTCTTCCTACTCTGTCAATGTTGATTTCTAATTTTTTTTTTTACTTTAAGTCATATTTCATACCATTCTTTCTCAGGCAAATACGGTCAGTCTAGCTTAGTTCTCAGAGGATAGTGCCTGGACTGCTGTGAGCCAACTACGCTAATATAACACCTCTTTAGGACAAACATGTTAAGTACTCTCTCTGAAGGCTTTCTTGATCCAAGGTGTTTTGCCCCAGTGTAGAGGACAAGTAGGTGGGCAGATTAACGTTACCCAAACTGAAACCCTTAAATGGGATTTTCATTCCAAACAGAGTTGAATTGAATAATGCTCTCTGGTTTGTCACTTAGTAGTAGTATAAGTCTTGAGAAAAGCATAAGAGTTTGCATGCTTTGTACCCCAGCAGACCTGGTTGGTCTCACTTTCTAAATCATCAAAAGGGAGAGGAATAGAGCAAGATTTCAAGACCTCCATCTCTGGTATTAGAAATACTATATATAGTTGGCTTAGTCATTACCGATTCTCAACCAGCCCTTCCCTTGTATTCTTTGAGTGCTGAGTCAAAGTTAAATACTGTTTCAGCCTCTCTCACAGATAGGGATCACAGTTCTTGCCCCCAAGAGAAAATGAGAGCCTTTCTTGAGCTCATGTAGGGAAGATGTTTGTTTATTTTTAAACAAAAAAGGAATCTTCCATGTACACAATTTTGAAACCTATCTTTCCCATCTAATATAAAAGTCATTTATATATATCACTATTTTAAAGCTTTTAATTTTTTGATAGAATACACGTAACATAAAATTTACTATTTTAACCATTTTTTAAAATTTTAATTTGTTATATGACAACAGAATGCATTACAATTCCTATTACACATATAGAGTACAATTTTTCATATCTGTGGTTGTGCACAAAGTAGAGTCACATCCTTTGTGTCTTCATACATGTACATAGGATAATGATGACCATCGCATTCCACCATCTTTCCTATTCGCTTTCCCTTCTCCTTCTTCCCCTTTTCCCCTTTGCCCTGTCTAATAGAATTTATTTAATCCTCCCATTCCCCACCCTCCACCCATAGCATATTATGAATCAGCATCCTTAAATCAGAGGAATCATTCGGCATTTGTTTTGGGGGGATTGACTTACTTCACTTAGCATTATATTCTCCAGCTCCATCCACATTTTCTTTATCCATTCATCTACTGAAGGGCATTTAGGTTGGTTCCACAGTTTAGCTATTGTGAATTGTGCTGCTATGAACATTGATGTGGATGTGTCCCTGTAGTATGCTTCTTTTAAGTTCTTTGGGAATAGACTGAGGAGTGGAATAGCTGGGTCAAATGGTGGTTCCATTCCCAGTTTTCCAAGAATTCTCCATACTGCTTTCTAGATTAGCTGCACCAGTTTGTAGTTCCACCAGCAAGGTATGAGTGTGCCTTTTTCCCCACATCCTCACCAACACTTATTGTTATTTGTATTCTTAATAGCTGCCATTCTGACTAAAGTGAGATGAAATCTTAGAGTAGTTTTGATTTGCATTTCTCTAATTGCTAGAGATGTTGAACATTTTTTTCATATATTTGTTGTTTGGTTGTATATCTTCTTCTGAGAAGTGTCTGTTCAGTTCCTTGGCCCATTTATTGATTGGGTTATTTGGTGTTTTGGTGTTAAGATTTTTGAGTTCTTTATATATTCTAAAGATTAGTGCTCTATCTGATATATGAGTGGTCAAAATTTGCTCTCAAGATGTAGGCTCTCTATTCACCTCATTGATTGTTTCTTTTGCTTAGAAGAAGCTTTTTAGCTTGAATTTATTGATTCTTGGTTTTAATTCTTACACTATAGGAGTCTTATTAAGGAAGTTGGGTCCTACTCCAACATGATAGGGATTTAGACCTACTTTTCTTCTAATAGTTGCAGTGTCTCTGATTTAGTTCCACTTTGAGTTTTGTTCATGGTGAGAGATAGGGGTTTAATTTTATTTTGTTGCATGTGGATTTCCAGTTTTCTCAGCATCTTTTGTTGAAGAGGCTATCTTTTCTCCAATATACGTTTTTGGCACCTTTTTCAAATATAAGATAACTATAATTATATGGGTTAGTCTCTGTGTCCTCTATTCTGTACCATTGATCTACAAGTCTATTTTGGTGCTAATACAGTGCTGTTTTTGTTACTATTGCTCTGTAGTATAGTTTAAGGTGGTATAGTGATGCCACCTGCTTCACTCTTCTTGCTAAGGATTGCTTTAGCTATTCTGGGTCTCTTATTTTTCCAGATGAATTTCATGACTTCTTTTTCTATTTCTATGAGAAATGTCATTGGGATTTTGATTGGAATTGCATTAAATCTGTACAATGCTTTTGGTAGTATGGTCATTTTGACAATATTATTTCTGCCTACCCAGGAACTAGGAAGATCTTTCCATATTCTAAGGTCTTCTTTAATTCTTTCTTTAGCATTCTGTAGTTTTCATTGTAGAGGTCTTTCACATCTTTTGTTAGATTGATTCCCAAATATTTTTTTGATGCTATTGTAAATGGGGTAGTTTTCCTTGTTTCCTTTTCAGAGGATTTGTCATAGAAATGCCTTTGATTTATAGGTGTTGATTTTGTATCCTGCTACTTTACTAAATTCATTTACTAATTCTAGAAGTTTTCTAGTGGAATTTTTTGGTGTACACTTTGGTAGCAGTAAATACTCTGAACATTGTTGTGCAATCATCTGTCATCACCATTACCCATCTCCAGAACTTTTTCATCATCCCACACTGAAATTTTGATACTCATTAAATAGCAATTTTCCATTTTCCCCTCCCCCTGCCTCTAGAAACAACCATTTTGCTTTCTGGATCCATGAATTTGACTAGTCTAGGTACCTCACATAGGTGGAATCACAATATTTGATCTTTTTTTTTTTTTGTCTAGCTTATTCTACTTAGCGTGTTTTCAAAGTTCATACTGTAGCATTTATCAGGATTTCATTTCTTTTAAAGCTGAATAGTATTTCATTAATATATTCAGTGTACACCACATTTTGTTCATTTGGATTATTTACACTTTTTGGCTGTTGTGGATGCTGCTACAAATATTGTTGTACAGATGATATTTTCAAGTCCCTGAATTCATTTCTTTTGGATATATACCTACAAGTGGTATTGCTGGATCATATGCTGATCCTGTTTATCTTTTTTTAAGGTATTGCCATATTTTTTTCATAATAACCATATCATTTTACATTCCCACCAGCAATGCATGAGCTTCCACTTTCTCTACATCCCTGCCTGAACTTATATTCAGTTGGTTTGATAATAACCATTCTAATCTGTTTGAAACAATACCTGATTGTGGTTTTGATTGACATTTCCTTAACAATTAGTAATGTTGTCATCTTATATGTTGACAATCGTGTACTCATTGGTCATTAGTGTATCTTCCTTGGAGAAATGTCTATTTATGTCCTTTGTTCATTTTCAGTAGGGTTGTTTTGTTTTTGTGTTGTTGTTTCTTATAGGAATTATTTTTATGTGTATTAATTTTGTTATTAGATATATGATTGGCACATATTTTTTCCATTCTGTGGTTTGTTTTTTGAGTCTCTTGATAATGTAGTTGTACCTACATGTTTTTAATTTTGATACAGCCAGTTCATTTATTTCTTCATTTGTTGATGATATATCTAAGAAACTGTTGCTGACTCCAGTGTCACAAAGCTTTCCCTTTATTTTTTCTTCTAAAAATATAAGAAATTCTATAGAATTTAACTTAGGTATTTGATCATTTTGAGTTAATTTTTGTATATCATTTCAGGTAAGAGCCTAGCTTCATTGTTTTGTATGTGGATATCCAGTCTTCCTAGCACATTGCTGAAAAGATTGTCCTTTCCCCTGGAATGGTCTTGGTACTCTTGTTGAAAATCATCTGACTATATATGTGATGATTTATTCCTGGGATTTCTGCTCTATTCCACTTCTATGTTTGTCTTTATCCCAGTCAGTTCTACACTGTCTGGATACTGTAACTTTGTAGTAAGTTTCAAAATCCCAGAGCATGAGTCTTCCAATTTTGTTAATTCTTCTAAAGTGACTATTCCACAACTGTGTGTGTGTGTGTGTGTGTGTGTTTTCCTGGGGGGATTTAGCCTTCTGGCACTCTATCACTGAACTGAATTCCTGGAACTTTTTATTTTGAGACAGGG